GTTGATTGGTTGGTTGGATGATTGGTTGGTTGGTTGGTTGGTCAGTTGATTGGTTGGTTGGATAATTGGTTAATTGGTTAATTAATTGATTAATTAGCTATTTTGTTTCGTTATAATGTAGATTGATAGAATAGCTAGGTTGTAAAAGATTTCCTTGGAAGCAGAATGTATGACCAATGGAAAAACAGGGCAAAAAAATTAAACACCCATGTTTAATTAATAAAATAACTATAAAAAATTGTATTAATTATTCAATCAATCAATCATTTAATCAATCATTTAATCAATCAACCAATCAATCAACCAATCAATCAATCAACCAATCAATCAACCAATCAATCAATCGATCAACCTCGGTCTGAAATCTTTCCTTGCTCTCCATCCTCTTATCGTTGATTGGACGAGGCCAAGTAACCTCTGCCTGTACTTAATCTTTCTGTCCACTGATTGGTTGATTGATTGAATAAATGAGTAGATGAATGAATGAACGAACGAACGAACGTGAGAATGAATGAACCACAGAACGAACGAATGAATGAATGATTGAAAATTTATGGATTGACTGGTTGATTGAATGATTGATTGATTTGAGAGTTAGCTGATTGAATAATTGATTTATGGATATGCTAGTTGTTGGTTTGTATGAATGAATGAATGAATGAACGAACGAACGAACGAATGAATGAATGATTGATTGATTAGTTCATTTATTTCGCGATTGATCATTTCATTGTTTGATTTACTAAGAGGAAAAATAAAAACATAAAAATAAGAGAGAAATATGTATCTATAGAGAGTAGAAGTAAAAAATGAAAAACAAAAAGATAGAGCGAAAGAGAGAGAAAAAGAGAAACAGAGAGAGAAACAGAGAGAAACAGAGAGAGAAAAGGAGAGAAAGAAAAGAAAGAACAAAGCATACAAACATCTAAATGAAAATAGCAATAGATAACATCATTCCTCACATTTGATGACACTGAGTGCACACCACTGGGCCTTTCGCCACCTCGCACAGATCAGCCACTTCTTAACCTTGCGAATCAACTGGGCCAAGTTTTCTGGATCGGACTTCATAACTTGGTCGAATTCGGCGAATTTTCCTGGGCGGAAGAAAATCTTCGTGTTTCCAAAGGCAAAGTCGTTTTCATTAAGTCCCAATGCTTTGAAGAGAGCCTATGTTTGTGTTTGTTTGTTTGTCTGTGTGTGTGTGCTTGTTTGTTTGTCTGTGTTTGTTTGTTTGTGTGTGTTTGTGTGTTTGTTTGCTTGTTTGTCTGTGTGTGTGCTTGTTTGTCTGTGTGTGTGTGTTTGTGTGTGTATTTGTTTGTGTTTGTTTGTATGTGTGTTTGTGTGTGTGTTTGTTTGTCTGTGTGTGCTTGTTTGTCTGTGTGTGTTTGTTTGTCTGTGTGTGTTTGTTTGTCTGTGTGTTTGTTTGTTTGTCTGTGTGTGTGTATGAGTGTGTGTGTATGAGTGTATCTGAGTTTTTATGTTTTACTATGTTCGTTTTTGTTTGTGTGTTTGTGAATTTGATTTGTTTTTATACGTTGGTGTATGTGTGTGTGTGTGTGTGTTTGTAGGTGTTTTTCACTCTCTCTCCCTCTCTCTCTTTCTCTCTCTCTCTTTCTCTCTTTCTCTCTTTCTCTCTCTCTCTCTCTGTGTTTTTGTATGTGTGTGTGTTTACAATGTTTGTATAGACTGTCTGTTTATCAATGTGTGATTGATCAATGGTTTCATTTCTTTCGTGACTTCAGAATGTAAGCTTGCTCATATTACTTCCGCGTTCGAATCGTTCTTATTACTACTGAATATGAAATTTGTTTAACTCGCAATAAAATTTTATTCGTTCATTCATTCGTTCAATCGTTCGTTCGTTCAACATTCATTTTTTTTTCACTCACACACTCACTCACTCACTCACTCACTCACTCACTCACTCACTCACTCACTCACTCACTCACTCACTCACTCACTCACTCACTCACTCACTCACTCACTCACTCATTCAGTCGTTCGTTCGTTCGTTCATTCATTCATTCACTCACTCACTCACTCATTCACTTATTCACTCCTCCGTGTACCTTGCAAAACATTCTCGGATGGAGTCTGGATATCTCAGCCGGCATGAACTGCTTGTACATGTTGTATAGGTCCTGGAATTGCGTTCGTGATGGAAAACCCTGCTGCATCAGCTCCAGGACCGTGGTCATTCCTGTGAACGAACGAATGAATGAATGAATGAATGAATGAATGAATGAATGAATGAATAAATGAATGAATGAATGAATGAATGAATGAATGAATGAATGAATGAATGAATGAATGAATGAATGAACGAACGAACGCACGAACGAACAAACGAACAAACGAACGAATGAATGAATGAATGAATGAATGAATGAATGAATGAATGAATGAATGAATGAATGAATGAATGAATGAATGAATGAATGAACGAACGCACGAAAGAACAAACGAACGAATGAATGAATGAATGAATGAATGATTGAATGAATGAACGAATGAATGAACGAATGAATGAATGAACGAATGAATGAATGAATGAATGAACGAATGAACGAACGAATGAACGAATGAACGAATGAATGAATGAACGAATGAATGAATGAATGAATGAACGAATGAACGAACGAATGAACGAATGAACGAATGAATGAATGAATGAATGAATGAATGAATGAATGAACGAATGAACGAATGAATGAATGAATGAATGAATGATTGAATGAATGAATGATGAATTTCCAACCGGAGCACTGCAGTTGAGTGAGTATCTGATTGCCCTCAAAAAGGTGATCCACCATCTTAACATTTGGCTTGATGCATCTTATGAAGTTCGTACCCTGGTCATGATGATGATGATGATGATGATGATGATGGTGATGATGATGATGATGATGATGATGGTGGTGGTGATTATGATGATGATAAAGATGATGATGATGATGATAATGATGGTGGTGGTGGTAGTGATTATGATGATGATGAAGATGATGATGGTGATGGTGGTGATGTTGATGATAGTGGTGGTAGTAGTAATGATAATGATGGTGAGAGAGAAAGTGAAAAAGTGAAAGAGAGAGAGAGAAAGAAAGAGAGAAAGAAACTGAAAGTGACAGACACCAGACAGTCACTCCATCATAATCACCATCACCACCACTAACCGTACTACAAAGCTTCTCCATAAGCTGCTGCAGCTGGCTCCTGAACTTGCTTCCGATGCTAATGAACGTCAACTTTCCAACCTTTTCCGCTTCCTGTCCCTCGAACAACTTCTTTACCAATTTGTTCTTGCTCTCAACCACGAGAACGGCCAGCGAGGCGTGCAGAGCATCGTTGTTCTTCTCTATGAATTGGGCCTGGTGGCATGGAAATGTTTTCATTTCTAATTTTTAAGGTGAGTCGTTTGCACTTTTTGTTGGTTGGTTGGATTTGTTTTGTTTATATTTTCTCTCTCTCTCTCTTTCTTTCTCTCTCTCTCTTTCTCTCTCTTTCTGTCACTCTTTAATATAATTAATCATAATTAATTATAATTAAACTCACAGTGTGGTAACAGACGGCTCCGGCGTAATGCCTTATAAGGAATCCCTCTTCGTCCCGGACCTCCCTGTGAATCTTCAAGACGGATTTCCGCGGAACCTGGGAGAGTTTTTACATTTTTCATCATTTACAAACGAGATCTTTTCATTTTTCATCATTCCCAAACGAGATCTTTACATTTTTCATCATTTACAAACAAGAACTTTACATATTTTTATCAATCTTCACCATTTACAAACGAAATTTTTACATTTTTCATCATTTACAAACAAGAATTTTTCATCATCAATATTTATCATTTACAATCAATGCCTGTCCGCGTCCAAGACATCCCATCCCATTTCGGACTAAGGACAATACAATTTACAATTACAATTTACCAAAAGATTACGTTTACACGTATACAGTTACACTTTTACATAACGCGTTTACAATAACATGTTTACTTTACAGATATACAATTTAGATAAAGAAGATTATTAAATTCAGAAAGAGATATACAACTACAAACATTGAGTCTGTAGTGGTTCTTGTTTTTATTATGAACTTCCATCGTGAAGTGGGTGTGTGAAGGTCTTGGGAGTTTGTTTTCTTCGTCCAGAATGTCGAATATTCCAATGGATTTGGTTTCAATCAAATCTGATATGATGATGAAAGTGATTGTGAATTTGTAATTTAGGCTTATGTATAATTCACAGTTTTACATTACTTGTAATTCACAATTCATGCTTATGTATAATGCACAACTATACATAATTCGTAAAACAGGCTTGTTTATAATTCACAATTATACATAACTTATAACTCACAATTCTTGCTTATGTATTATACGCAACTTTACATAATTCGTAATTCATAATTCACATTTACTTACAATAATTCACATCTAAGTCAAATTATAATTATTACCAATGCAATCCTGGTTGTCGATGTAGTTGATCTTTTTAACTTTCAATCCTTCCTTCTCGTATAACGCTTGTTCCTAAGGAATGAGTGAGTGAGTGAGTGAGAGTGAGTGAGAGTGAGTGAGTGAGTGAGTGAATGAGTGAGTGAGTGAGTGAATGAACGAACGAACGAACGAACGAACGAACGAATGAATGAATGAATGAACGAATGAATGATAAACTAAACTGAAACTAAACCTCTTTCAAAATGCGATTGTTAAAAAATTGCTGAAGTTTTTCATTGCAATAGTTTATACAGAACTGCTCGAAGCTATTTGTCTGGAAATATTCTGAAACAGTTTGTCAACAGCCACTTAAAAACTTTATGATTATTATTATTTGCAGTAGTAGCAGCAGTAATATTGCTCGTAATAATATCATTATAATAAAAATAAAAATAATAATTAAACGAATAAAAATATAATAGAATTAGAAATAATAATTATTATTATTATAAACAAACAACGAATCCGGATTAACCAAATCCTGCGATATCCAAGATGCCAATGTAGGATTTGGACGATTGGAATGGGAGAGACTGATTCACTCTGAGTACGATGTAGTCGAAAAGTTTCGAGTACAAACTTTTGGCGAGTGCATCGCGAGCATTTTGGGCTTCTCCGGATTTTAGTTGCACCCTGGTTGTGATGGTGATGGTGGTTGTGATGATGGTGGTGGTGACGATGATGGTGATTGGTAAATATAATTCTCATCATCCCCTTACTGGATGATGGTTCCGGTTTTTCCACCCTTGGCAGTCTGCATGGCCCGGCAAACAAGTGCCCTCTTCAACTCGTCCTGCTCACATCCCAAGAGTTGGGAGGCGATTGCCAGGGACTGCTCGGTGGATTGAGTCACCTGATTGGTTAATTGATTGGTTGGTTGATTGGTTGGTTGATTGGTTGGTTGATTGGTTGGTTGACTGGTTGGCTGGTTGGTTGGTTGATTAGTTGATTGGTTGGTTGGTTGGATGGTTGTTTGGTTGGTTGGTTGGCTGGTTGGTTGGTTGGTTGACTGGTTGATTGATTGGGTGATTGATTGAATGATTGGCTGGATGATTGCTTTTATGACGAAAATAATGATAATTATTAACAATCAACAATCCAGCCAACCATCTGATCAGTCAACCAACCGACCTTACAACCCCCCTTGGACTCCAAATTTTCTTCGAACTGGACATTCCCCAGGTGCAAGACCCCCGCCACCACTCCATAAATGGAGCACTTCTCCTCCTCACTGAGCCCCATGTGACTCATGGCCTGATCGGTCAACTGGAAATCTCTGACGTCATCCAGTTGGATGTCGGAGAGGCCACCTTTCGATTGAAACTTTTAGAAAAATGGCGGGAGAAAAGGAATTAAAATATTTTTTTTGCGGGATTTATGAAACTGGTAACAAAATAAAGGAAAAAATAAATGAATGAATGAACGAACAAAAGAACGAACGAACAAACAAACGAACAAACGAACAAACGAACGAACGAACGAACGAATGAATGAGCAAACGAAAGAACGAACGAACAAACAAACGAACGAACGAATGAATGAATGAACCAACCATTTTACTCATTCTGTTCTGTCCGAGGTTCTGCAGAGTTTGCTTGGAGCAAAAGTATTGGGTGCATCCTTTATTTAGGTACTGTGTGTGAGTGTGTGTGCGTGTGTGTGTGTGTGTGAGTGTGTGTGCCAAATAAGTGAAGTTAACATTTAGAAATAATGTGAAAAAATTAATTTCTGGTGAAGCTACGATTGAAAATTCCATTGACACAAAACGAAACACTGAATGTGAACTTTTGGAAAACTGATCCCTAGAAATGAATTCACTTAAAATTCTGCTTATAGCACGTTTAAAACATTGAGAAGAAAGTCAACGAAGAGATGATTGAGTTTATGTAGAAATGAAGGAATGAAGGAAGGAATGAAGGAATGACTAAATGAATTAATGAATGATCTATAATCATCTATAATCGAATGAATGAATGGATGGATGGATGGATGGATGGATGGATGGACGGATGAATGGATGGAATAATATGGGATAATAAAAAATGAATTGTAGTGAAAAAAATACCCACAGCAAAGGAATCAGGCGTCCCCAACTTCAACTGCTGTCTAAGGGCTTCAGGGGCTCCAGCACACATGCGGTAGAAGATGTGGTAGTTACGTTCTTCGTCGTTCTGGATGCATATCCTAGATTTTTCCAGCAAGTAGTGGCTTATGAAGCCGCCGCAAACAAAGTTCTGTGGTTGTGGTAGTTAGTGGTGGTTGGAAAAGTGCGTGTGTGTGCGTGTGTGTGCGTGCGTGTGTGTGTGTGTGGTGTGTGTGTGTGTGTGTGTGTGTGTGGTGTGTCAATGAAAAACACAAACGTTTTTATACATATTAATAACTGGGATTACATGTTTTTAATATTTTTTTTTCACAAATATTTTTTTAAATGTCTTATAAATTTAATTATATTAAATTCAAACAAATTTGTAATATAATTTATTGAAGTTAACAAATAGAAAAAAAAACCGTTCAACTAGCTAATTATACAAATACGGCTTGAGAAAAATCACAACAATGAAAAATGCTGTTCGAATGGTACAATATACATGATACCAGATACCTATCGTTTAAATAGTTAGAAGTACCTAAAAATACCGTCTGAGTAACTTATAATAACAATACCAGATATCATTTTAGAAGTTTGTAGTACTGCAAAAATACCTTGGCATCGAAGTGTATTTCGACAAACTTGCCGAATCTGCTGGAGTTGTTGTTCCGCATTGTTTTGGCGTTTCCGAATGCTTCTAGAAGTGGGTTCGCTGTTGTAAAAGTTGTTTTTTGTATGTTTTTTTTATGTTTTTTGTATTTGTATGTAAGTTTTTGTATGAATGTTTGTGTCCTGTATGAATAAAAATACCGTTGAAAATACAAAACAATTTGTATTTGTTTGTATCTGTCGTATGTGTAATGTATATGTATATGTTTATTTAGGTTGTATGTATGTGTTTACATTCATTTTCGCATGTGTCAGTCTGTAGGAATATACAATTAAATTATTTATCCAGAAACTCGTAATCATCAAACTAACATTCTACAATCCTTTGTTCGATTGGACCGGCTTTGGTACCCCAGCATTCGGTTAGGTACTTGAGAATATACTTGGTCGACTCGGTTTTACCGGCCCCTGACTCACCACTGACGATTATCGACTGACAGGTTTTCAAGACTTTCATATCTCTGTACGCTTTGTCGGCTGTTTGATTGTTTGTTTGTGTGTGTGCGTGTGTGTGTGTGTATGTGTGTGTGTGTGTGCGTGTGTGTATGTGTGTGTATTAGTTTTTTTTCTCTATCATAATCACAACAATCATCATTATCATCATTAACCAGCCACCACCACCATCATCATTATCATCATCATCTCATCGTCATCATCATCATCATTATTATTACCATCATCATCATCATCATCATCATCATCATCATCATCATCATCGAAACAATCATCATTACCATAACTAACCAATAGCGAATACGTGCGGGGGCATAGTACCCAGGGACTTGCCCAAATATGATTGGATGGTCTGTGAGCCATAGAGCCTTGAAAGGTCCATGTATGGGTTGACGGCGATCAGGATGTTTGCCACATACGTCTGTGTTTGTTTGTGTGTGTGTGTGCGTGTGTGTGTGTGTGTACGTGTGTGTATGTGTGTGTGTACGTGAATATTTATGGATGCATATGTATGTGGAAGAATTTAATTGACCACATAGGCAATCATTTATTTACTTTTTAAAATCCAATTAAATCTAATAACTAGACCACGTGATCAATTAATTATTTCTATTAAAAAAAGTCAACCAATCAAATTAGAGAAATATAAATAGCAACCAATTACGTCACTCACGTATATAGAATCCTTCATGTATCTAATCTTAATATTGTTCAGTAAGGTGCCTTCGTTCAGGTACATCAAAGAACCTTTGTGCGAAAATTCTTTGAAATTAGTTAGATGTCATTCTATAATTACAAACGTTTCATTTATTTTAGTAGTAGTAGTAATAGTAATAGTAGTAGTAGTAGTAGTAGTAGCAGTAGCAGCAGCAGCAATAGTATTAGTAGTAGTAGTAGTAGTAGTAGTAGTAGTAGTAGTAGTAGTAGAGTAGTAGTAGTAGTCGAGTAGTAGTAGTAGTAGTAGTAGTAGTAGTAGTAGTAGTAGTAGTAGTAGTAGAGTAGTAGTAGTAGTAGTAGTAGTAGTAGTAGTAGTAGTAGTAGTAGTAGTAGTAGTAGTCGAGTAGTAGTAGTAGTAGCAGTAGTAGTAGTAGTAGTAGTAGAGTAGTAGTAGTAGTAGTAGTAGTAGTAGTAGTAGTAATTTTTTAAAGATTTTTTAATATTTTATATTCATTCAATCAAAACCAAATGAAAGAGATTATGGAGTAATCTTAAATGTGAACTCTCACAATTATCATCCACATCTTTGTCTTCATACTCGTCCGCGGGGAAGACCCTATCGAAGGGGGCCGTGATCTTTTGGCCCCCTCCGGGCCTCGATATGACCTCCACAACGACCCCGTCACTCGAGATGTCGACAATTTTTCCCAATTTGAATCCGTCTGTTGGATGTGGGACCCAGACTTTCTTGCCGTCATCCATGCTGAATAGGGATTTAGAAAAGTTAGTCTTTGGTGCTGGTTGAAAGCGTTTAGTTTCTTCCCTGTTGGGATTTTTTTTTTTTGTAGAATTCAGATTCTATTAATATGTATTAACTTCTTGCGTTTGAGTACCTTCTATTAAAATGATTTCTAATTAATTAATTAGAGTTAATTAAGTTCTAAGTTAATTAATTCGAGTTTTTGATTGCGAATTTTAAAGAAATGTGCTAAATGATGATACTATTACGGCTCTTTAAAATTTGTTAAATTAAATAAAGTTTCAAAAAGTTTAAAATGACTCGATCATATTCAACATAATGAGCAACAATACAACACTCATAGCAGCCTAAACCGTGACTACAACAACCACAAAAGCATCAACAACGACAGCCACAAAAACAACATCGGCAACATCAACAGCAATATCCACCACACCAGCAGCCAGTGTATTGACGACATTGGCAACAAAAAAAAACCCTCAAAAACACCGCAACCAAAACGAATCAAACTCACACACCCTTTTAACTTGTAGTAGAATGCACAAAATGGCTTACCTAAATTCACCCCTAAAGCAATACAAATCTTATAAGTAGTATACTTCAGTTATTACAGCGAGGCAACTACACTTATTACCGATAAAAAAAGCCAGTAATTAGTACTTTAATAGAAATAAAATTAGTATTATTGCTATCAGGACGATGGCAAACATACACACAGTAAAAGAATGTGTCGTGACTGTCACCATTCTAACATATATGATTGTATGTATATCAAATATATACATATATATATAGATATATGTATATATACATATATATGTATATACATATATGTATATCCATGAGCTTATTGAGATTTTTAAGAGACACTAGAGAAATGGCAGGTAGACAATCATACCTAACAATGGACACTAGGCTATGTAGGTATATATATATATATATATATATATTGTATGTAATAGGTTAAGACTATCTGATATATATATAGTTCTGCATATATATATATATATATATATATATATATATATATATATATACACATACATACATATATACATACAGTGTATATATATATGTGGTGTCTATAAATATATCTACATTGTATATATCTGAGGTGTCATCACTTTATAGGTTGAAATTATTATAGTTTAATTATAGATAATAAATAAATATATATATATATATATATATATATATATTATTAATAGGTATTATAGTTTAGTTATATATATATAATATATATATATTATATATATATACATATATATATATATATATATATATATTATTGATAATTAAATGACTCATTTTACTCCTATGTGACTATCCGATTATGAAATTTTTAGTTGATTAATTGATTGAAATTAATAGGCCAACCAATTTGTAATGATGATGATAATAATAATGGGAACAATCTTTTATTCATCAATAAAATCAATAAAAATGACAATACAAATTAAGTAAAATAAAATAAAATGAAAAGTCAATGAAATAATTAGTGTTTTATCAAGTCTGCGAAGCTCATCATTCAAATCGAGTGAGTACAGCCAGAGTTAATTAGTTTCAAAATTGGTTCATTTCAAATTTCTATCACAATAGATAGCGTACGACGATGATACAGCAGACTTAATAAGGTCGTTGCAAAAGTTATCAGACCAAACAATGTTTATATGAGATAAATTAAATTGCTTGAATAAACCCAATGTAGAAATTTCGAATGTATTTATTTTTATTTTCAAATGTTTGCAATCGCCAATTAAGTTATTTTTCAAATTATTAGAGTATTTAGATAGTTTATATTCTTTTGAGCTGAGGAAGTTGGTTTCGTGGCAGACTGTTAATTCCAGAATTTCCAACGTTTCACCGCGTAGCAATGCGATGTCTGGTCGCAATGACTTGAATAAGCGTGATAGTGGTTGAACATCTCCCGTCTCTAGATCAGCAAAAATGGAGACATCTGGGTTGGCGCATGATTTTAATTTGTCGAGGATTATTGTCAATATTTTGTTGTGTCTTGTTGTGTATCTATCCAGTGCCGACGAAGAACTGCAGTTGGATAGTACATGTTTATTCGTTTGTAGATTATTGCATAACAAGCACTGGGCAGTGGAAGGCTTTCCCCATCTGGACAGGTTGGCATTTGTTGGCAGTTGCTGAATTAAACCTTTCCGGACGAATCTGAATAGAACCTCTGGAAGGTTTGCAATGTATCGTGACCAGTGATCAATTCTAGTTGCCGGAATATGATCACTGATTGCCATGACTATCGTACCTTGACATCGGAGTGAGGTCAGCCGTGTAAATTCTGTACTTTGTTGTCGAAGTACTAGTGCCTTGAGCGTTGATTTGATGTCGTTCGAATCGGGTAGCTGATTATCCACCGCAATATAGTTGTTGAATGATTCGGCCCACAAGCACTTAAGTTCGTCTTTGCCGTTTGATTTTAGATAATTGCGTAGTTTAATTCGCATAGATTCGGCATAGTGCTTGAGAGACCTAATGTTCAAGCCTCCCAATTTGAAGGGGAGCGACATGCATTCAGACACACAGCTGCTGATAGGTAGTGACAGCCATGATCTCACCGATTCAACAATGAGAGGGTCGAGGCAGTTGCCTATCCAGGTCAAGGAAATGTCGTATGTCCGCAACTCAAATGCCAATTGCGACGGTATATATCTACGTAGAATTTGTAGTTTCCAATTTTCCGTCGTGTCCAGTTTGTTAATCACTAGTAGCAAATTTTTTAGCTTACCATTCAGCTGTTCTTTAGCCCTACTGTTGTTGCCTTCAAAATCATAGGTTTTGCCCAGATAGACAAAGTGTCCGCCTATGTCGACATGATGAATTGGTTTTTCGTCGATAATCAGCATCGGGAGAAATTGTTCATAAGTACCGTTTTTTTTCCTCATACCGAATATTGAACATTTATCAATTCTTAATTTCATGCCGGTTGCGATACACCATGCCCGGTTTATGTCAATAAGCTTTTGTGCACTTTCGGTGTTGTTGGCGATGATTGCAAATTGTAACCATGCTCTTGTTCTAAGGCTTGTTGTGGGACCCCATATGTAACCGCACTGCTGAAATTCGGTTTCTTCGAGTTTTTTCATTAAGGGGTTGAAGCAGAGGTTGAAGAGCAATGGAGAGACTGGATCGCCTTGTAACACACCTCGTTTGACCGGGATGGAAGGAGACAACTGATCGCAACCGGAGACTGTAATTGTGTAGTTGGAGTATATAAATTCAATTAAGTTTATGATTTGAAGTGGGATGTGATGGTAGTGCATGATTGATGAGATTAGGCCGTGACTGACTTCACCAAAGGCATTACGTAAATCCAAGAGTGTGACGATAATTGTTCTCTGGTGCCT